CCAGGGACTTGAGCATAATGGTGAACCTTTTGGCTTTCATTTATCCGGCATTTTTCTCCATCCGGGCTTTGGAATCCATGCGACCTAGGGAATTGGAAAAATGGCTGACCTATTGGGTCGTTTTCGCGTTCGTCAACATTGGCGAGCTTTTCAGCGACAACCTGCTCTGGTGGTTCCCTTACTATTGGTTCATGAAGGTTCGAATCTCATTTCTTGATTGAACACTACTTTTGTAAAGTGAACGAAAAATTTGAACGGGTGATTCAGTCGCTTCATTATTACCATAGGTTTACGAAAATGATGGATTTCGTTGCGTTTCGTCCAGATTTATTTTTCTAAAAGACTGTTGTATTATAGACTCGAAAAGAGGAAGCATAATCCTGCAATACTGTACCGTATAATAGAACAATTTTGAATTTTTTTCATTTCGAGAGATTAGGGGTGACATTTGGATGTTATAAACAGCAAAAATGGGTGCGTATATTCTGGGATTTGATCGGAATCATAAAATTCTGAATTTTCTCCTGAAAAAAGTTAATCGGAGTGAGTATCGGAAAAATTCTGGAGCCATATTTTTGGCATCAAGTGATTCGCAGAAGTAGGGCGCAGTAACAAACTCCTTTGTATAACATTTATGTACCGGAAATTTGATCTTGGAAACGAAAAATGGCATTCAATTCCATTAGAAAATTTGATTGTTCTTTCTCAACGGTTTTTTGTTCTACAGATAATGCCAGGATTTTTACATCCAATTCAAATTGACCTTGCTTTCCTGGTGAAATGCACTTTTACGGGTAGGAAAGACTCTAGTTTTTACTTTTTTTCCCCCACGCTCATTTTCTTGTTTGTTTGTCGGGATATTCTTATCGCTTTATTTTACCCTTGCATTCCTATGATTTTATGATTTTCTCTTATGGGTCATGGCTTACTGAAATACGCATTCTTAATTGAGAAAGGTCGAAAACGTTGCCGTTTTTGCGAGTTGGAATTGAAATTCTGACGAGATAGAATGATGGAAATGTTTCTTCTTAATCTGATGCAATCGTTCCTCGTAGTGGGTTCTAGAAGGTTCAAGGATACCATTTTCAAACCTTGATGAAATTATAT